CCCTCTGCTCGCTCCCCCATGGCATTTCATCCTGACGTGTCCGCAGTGCCGTCCTCTTGCTCTTTTAAGCATCAGGGCTACACACAATCCATTTTATTTTTCCCATTACAAATGCGGCTGTCGCCCTGGATCTTTGGATGCTTCCTCTCTCCCAAGAGTTCAAGACCTTTCAGGCCTTGGGTGGGGAGGGGTGAATTTCCCCCAGTTCAACCTAGACCTTGGCAAGCCCTCAGTTGCCAGCTGCGGCCTTTGTTTAGTTCCAAGATGTGTCCCTGATCACCTCTGGCCATCACCCCCCCTTCACAGTCCCCCGCCCAAACTCCTGCCCCCCTAAGTCATGTTCTGAGCCTCCTCCGAGCCTCACCTGGGTCTCAGCACTGAGCTCTGTCCTTTCATTCTGCCGTGGAATTGTGTGATGGGGAGTCAGGTTCCGGCTCCAGAGTCATCAAACAGCACCCGGTCCCCACAGCCTGCCTCCCCTTCCATGATCAGGTGTGGCTGTCCCCTGCAGCTTCAGCTGAGGGGTCCTCATGGGCTGACCCCTGGCTCCTGCCCCCCCCCAAGGGCTGGGCCTGCAGAGTGGAAGGCGCAGCAGCCACACCCATGGGTGTCCAGGGAGGACAGGCCCCAGCTCCGAGGGAAACCCACCAGGAAGCACTGGGGGCCTCGAGAGCGTCATGGCCACGAACATGAGTTGTCTTTTGTTCCAGGCTCCGGTGCAGATGTGGGGTAGGATGGGGTGGTGTAGGGCGGGAATTGGACCTGGCCACGGAGATGCCATGGCATGGGCTGTGGGTCGAGGGATGGGAGACTCCCACTGAGCTGTGGTGGGGGAGGCTGTCTTGAGGAGCTGCCACACCACCCCCTGCCTGGTGAGAGGCCTCTCCCACCCCTGGACCTGTCCCAAGGTCAGGTCCCGCTCAGGGCCCCTTTCCTGCCCTGCCCAGCCCAGATCTTGCTGACTAGGTCCCTGTCAGCCCTCAGGATAGGGCCGCCCACAGCCCCCAGACCTGTTGATGGACAATAGGTTCCATCAAAACCATGGTGCTGGTGCCCAACACGCCGGGCCCTCCCAGCAGCCTCCCCGGCCCCTCTAACTGACTGCAACATCCAGGCCTCTTGCTAAGGAAGGCTACTAAGAAGACGCTTCGCAAGCATAACCAGGGCCGAAGTGCTGACACTGCCGTCCTCTGAGTGAGCTAACCCGAGTGCCTGCCCTGCCCCTCCACTCCCCACAGCTCTTCTCTGCCCAGGAGAGACCTCACCTCAGAGCCACCCGGCCTCTGCACTGACCCCCTTCCTGCCCAGAGCCTGTCCACTGCTCACCATGAGGCCTCCCCTGCTCTGTGCCTCCTGCCAGCTGCCCTCCTCTGAGATGCCCCCCAAGACCCAAACCCCAGCCCCCTCCACAGCAAGGTTCTTGAATCCTCTGGCTCCAGAGAGGCCAAAAAGACTGTTGCAAGGCAGGCTTCTTCTTCCTGGGCCTCAGTTTCCCTTTTTGTATAATGACCTCCAAGCCCCTGGCACCCCGATGCTTCCATTCGGCATCCCACAGGTCCCTGTCTACCTAGGCTCCTTGGAAGACCTGTGTCTGGGAGTCTGATGAGAGAGGGGAGAGCCCCACTCGGTCTTGGGACAGCTGGGGTTGGGCCTGTAGTCACCATGAAGCCATAACACCCGGCTGCCACCCCCACCTGCACAGGTTAACGGGCCTGGCCACCCCGGGGACCGGGCTCCTGGGCAGGATCTCCTCTGCTCCCTGGGGCCCAGTTTCTTTGGTGACACGGCAGTCAGGGCTGTCGCCAAGCAGAGCCAGCTGGCGTGGTCCCCGGGCTGAGCACCAAGGAAGCCGCTGGGCGGCTGGGGGCCGTGGGGCGGCCCTGTGGTGGCAGGGCCGAGAGAAGCTGTTCATGGCCTCCAAGCAGCTCTGCACCTGCAACAGACTCTGCCAGGGCCGGGACCCAGCCGGGTCAGATCTGGAAGCTGCCCCTTAGACCAGGCGGGGCAGGGCAGGGCAGGGCTGAGTCGTGGCTTCCTGCGCCTCTGAGGCAGGTTGCCCCAACGTCTCCGCCCACAAACTTGGGGAGGCTGGGCACCTGCTTTGGTAACACCCTGGGGACAGTGGAGCAACCCCCCGAAGCCCATGAGCCAGAGCTCCTGGACCTGTCAACCAGGAGGAACAAGTTTTAGGAGGCAGAGGCAGCAGGAGAGATCGGCCATTGGAAGGTGACCCCAGGCAGGCTCTGGGAACACGGTGGCCAGGAGGGGTGGACAAGGTACACCTGTGGGTAGGGACCTGCTGGCTGGTCTGGAAGGGCCAACAGGAGCAGTGTGGGTCCTGGCTCAGCGGCTGGGGTGGGGGTGGCTACCATTTCCCACAGCCACAGCCAGCACTAACCTGGGGGACTGGGGAGTGGGCTTCCCTTTGACTGGAGTTGCTGACCAAGCAGCCTCCTCTCTGAGGGCTAATGACCTACCCACCCACTAGGAGGGAACGATGGCTCTCGGGCCTAAAGTTGCCTGTGGGAGACCTGACTTCCACACAGCAGGACCCAGTGAGGTGGGGCATGGAGGTTGGCTGCAGGGGTCTGAGCCACAGTCCCAGCCAGGCTTTGTGACATCGGGGGGACAGCAGCCCTGGAAATCAGAGCAAAACCCCTCATCTTCCCAGGAGTGACAGGTGTGAGATGGTCCGGGAGGGAATATACGGGCCCAGGTCTGGGCCTCTCAGCATGGCCATCAGCATGGGCTGGCCTTAGCCTGGCACCAGCCAGGCCTGAAAGGGTACATGGACAGCCCTATCCCAGCCCTGGTGGATACACATTCACCTGGCCAGCTTAAGCCGGAGTGGGAGGTGGGCTCAGGACGCTGGACGCCAGGCTTGGAGGGCCTGCACACGCATGCACACATGCAGGTTACTGGAGACGCCCAGCTCAATCCATGTGCACCCAGTGCACAGATATCCCACGGGAGCTGCCTCCTCTTGCTTCCAACAACCGCCTCACCCCCAAGTAGGCACAGAGGCTGGATTGTGTTCTGTGAGTCCCCAAAGACCAAGCCGGCACTTTTCCATCTTTAGTCCCTCTGGGCTTCAGCCTGTATCATTTCTTCTGATCTTCTGGTTCACTGATTGTCTAGCAGTGTCTAAAAGTGGCTGCTAAACTGCTCCTTAAGTTTTTGTTTGGGGATTGTGTTTCTTTTACTTCTAGAAGTTCTTATTTGACATTTCAAGTCTGCTGGGTTATGTTAAAGCTTCTGTTTGACCTGTCAGCACTTCCAAGCCTGTCTTTTACTTTTTTTTTTTCTCCCCTTGAGTCAGGGTCTCATTCTGTTGCCTAGGCTGGAGTGCAGTGGCATGATCACCAGCCACTGCAGCCTTGATCTCCTGGAAAGCCTGTCTTCTTTGAGCACAGCAAGTAAACTTGTTATAATCCACACCTGGCAATTCCCATATACATACTGGATGCCTCTGCACATCTCTCTTGAGCATGGTGCCAGGGTTCCTGTGCGCTTGTTTTGTTTGACTGTGGTCGGCTCACTGACCTTGGAAAATCCTTCATGAGGTATACAGAGGTCTGAGACAATGGTGATTTGCCTTTGTTTCTACTAGAAACCTAGGGGACCACAAGTTAGGTAAACATCATCTAAAAAGAAACTGAAAGACTGGAATCTTTTTGGCCAGACTGGTGGAGGGAACGTGGGCTTTGTATCCATGAGTTCTGGCGCACACAACTCCAAAGGGGCTGAGTTTCTGCCTGAACTGCCTGGCCAGCCCCTTGGAGACAAGGCAGGGGGAGGGTTTAACTACCCCTGCCCCAAAGACACATGCCTTTGGGTTTGTGAATGGCCTGTTGTGAATAGGTCTCCCACCAGCATCTTTCTCTGTTCCTGCAGACCTGGCTCGTGGTAGAGGAGCAGTCAGGAGGACCTGGGCAGGAGTGATAGGGTCTGTTCTTAAGGGAGCACCACTACTCGCCTGCACGGCTCAAAGACACACATCCCGAATCACCTCTTTGCAGCAACCGGCAGGTCAGTTGACCTGAAAAAATGCACAGGCTGACCTCACTTGCAGCAGGGATCCTTCTCTTTTTCCCGGAGACCTGGTTCTTGGCTTCATTCAGCTCCATCCAGCCCTGCCCCTCATGGTGGGGGAACGTCTGGATCAGCTCATAATGCCAGCCCTAAGGCCGTGCTCCCTTCCAGTTTGCTCCATCAGATGGATGCAAAAGTGACTCTGTGGCCACCTCAAAGAGCTGCCTGCTTCCTTGTTTCCATTCACTCCCACAATGGCCTTGCCTTGGAAGGAGCAGGAAAAAAAAAACCCCAGAAAAACAGTAAATAGAGATAAACACAATTTTGACCTGATAATTCCTTAAAACCTGGGTAGCTCTTTGTTGCTGATTTTTTTTTTTTTTTAAGAGACAGCATCTTGCTCTCTCACTCAGGAGTGGCACAATCATAGCTCACTGCAGACTCGATCTTCTGGGCTCAAGTGATCCTCCCACTTCAGCCTCCTGAGCAGCTGGGACTACAAATACCACCACCATGCCTGGCTAATTTTTTATTGTATTTTGTAGAGACAGGGTCTCACTATGCTGCCCAGACTGGTCCTGAGCTCCTGGCCTCAAGTAATTCTCCCACTTCAGCCTCCCAAAGTATAGGGATTACAGGCGTGAGCCACTGCACCTGGTTGCTACGTAATTTTAAATGATTTCATAAGGCATTTGTAGCTGTTTTAATAGAGGGCAGGTGCAAGGGACCCAGAGGCCTCTCCCCTCCTGATTCCCAGGAAGGTGTCTGCCACACCCATGGCCACCACCTTGGACGTCAACACGCTCGCCTGTGGGGACCCCGGCTCAGCAGGACCTCCTCTTCCTCCTCAGCCACTGCAGCCACGCGGCCTGACACCAGCATGTGTCCCGGGGGTCCTGCGCCTCTCCCTGCTGGCACAGCTCTGCCCTGACCCAATTCCAAATACAAAAGAAACTGTACCCAAAGAACAGGGAGGCCAAAACATTTAAGTTATTAAATCAAATATACAGAGTGATTCATTTAATATGTACATATTTACACAAATGCACTTTCACGAGAGGGTGGTCAGGGCCGGCAGGTGGGCAGCTCCTGGTGCCCACAGCAGGCTGCGAGGGGGTCTGTGAGAAGGCACTTGTCACAAGCTTCAATACTGCCGCCGTCCTGGAGAGAGAACCGCGCAGTGGGAAGGGCACTTCTGAAAGCACAGTGGAGAGATCTCTGGAGCAGGCGTCCTGGGCAGGAGGAAGCACAGATGGCAGGCTGGACGGACTGGCCAGTGAGCACATGAGGGTCTACGCTCTGGCCTCAGGCCACACCGATGACTTTGAGCCCCACTGACAACCACAGGTGCTGTCAACAGCCACGAGCCATGCCGGCAACCAGGACCACATCAAGAACCAGGGTCACACTGACCACCACAGGTCCCACCTAGAGCCATGGGTCCCACTGACAGCCTCAGGCCATGTCATCGGCCACGGGTCCACTGATGGCCACCAGCCACACCATCAGCCATGGAGTCCCACTGACAGTCACAGCCATGCCATCAGTCATGGGTCTGACAGCCACGAGTCACAACAAGAACCATGGGTCCCACTGATGGCCACAGGCCACACCAGCCACGAGTCCCACTGACGGCCAAGCCACCAGCCATGGGTCCCACTGATGGCCATAGACCATGCCAACAGCCATGGGTCTCACCAGCTCTTTGGGCTGGAGCCACAGAGAAACCCAAGTGAGGAATAAAAAGAAAGATTCTGTAAACAGTGCACAACCTCTGGGAACAAATGGTGTACAACTTGGTGAGAATGCAGACACCCTCGCTCCTTCCTGCCACACAGCGAGCGCAACGCACAGAAACTTTACAAAAATAGCGACTATCCGAGAATACTCCATTGTTTCCCACCTGACAGTTATTGAATAATTTATACAAGGTTAAAGAAACGTAGAAAATAAACATTTGTTTTTTTGTTTTTGGTGTTTTTTTACACAAAATAAAGAAACTATGCACATGGCCTCGGCCTCCAGGCCTGGCAGGTGGCATGGCGCCCAGCAAGGGTCCTGGGTCCCGGCCCGGCTGGTGCCACTGCCTACTCCTTGCCGGTGTAGCATGCATCATTGATGCTCCTGACTGCACGGTTGTCCACTTTGGGGCCTGAGGCCCAGCGGGCCGGCCTCCCCGGCGAGCAGCCGGGGTCTTTGGTGAATTTGTGCGAGAGAAACTTCTCCGCCTCCAGGGAGTCCTCCTCACCGCGGCCCAGATCTTCATCCTCCTCATCCTCCCCACTGCCTGTGTGGCCCGCTGGCCCAGGCAGCGCCTCCTCCGCCCGGCGTGGCGGTGGCGTGAAGTTCTTGCACTGGTACAGCACGTCCTTGTGGCCCCCGCCACCACCCAGGCCACCACCTGGCCGCTCGATGGGGTTGCGAATGGGGTTGAGCGGGGCCCACTGGTTGTTGGTGCTCTCCTCCCGTGGCAGCCGGCTCCGCTCCCGTGCTTTCCTGCGCTTGCGGGTCCACCACACGCAGATGACCACGCACGCCAGCCACAGCACACTGAAGGCGCCGCACAGCACAGGCACCAGCAGGCCTGGGGGCAAGAGGAGACCCGGGGCGTATGGTCCCTGGGGTGCCCACAACACACCTGGACCTGCCCGGGGGTGCCAGCTGGCAGGACAGCTAGGCCTCGCCCTTTTGGCTCCTGGCTTGTGGTGAAGGTCCCAGGGGCTGGGATGGTGGAGGAGGGAAGGGGGCTGGAGCAGCAGGTGCCCATGGCTCCCCTGTTCCCAGCCCCATTCGTAATCCGAGGTCCTGGGCTCCCCCTCTGAGCCTTCTCTGCCTGGCACACGCCCACTGGCCAGGGGTCCAAGGAGCACTACCTTCCCGCTTACCTGTGGAGGAGCTGCCCACAATGACTGTCTCCACCTTGACCTCGGTGACAGCCAGGAGCAGCGAGCTGTTCCCCCGCTGGGTGATGGCGGCCACAATGGCATGGGCTGCACCCTGGATCAGGCTGCTGTCAGGCAGGTCCCGTGGGGGGCTGAAGGACTGTGGCAGAGGACAGCACTGGGGGACAGCCTGCAGGGCCTCTGCGGGTGTGCTGGGAACCTGCCCCCCACGCTGAGGCCACCACCACCGGGAATGTGGCCAGGACATGGGAGAGCCCAGGGTGCCCAGGGCATCTTGGGAGGAGGGTCCTGCAGTGGGGAGTCCCCCACCAGGCAGTTCAAGGTGGGGGTGGGTGTGGCCTGGCCCCACCCTCCCGCCAATCCCCTGCTTGTTTGGATCCTTTTGGTCAGCCCTCAGCCCCCGACTCCTACCAGCCAGGCAGGTACTGGGGGAGGGATGCAGACCCAGCACCTCCTGGGGCTGTGCCTCTGCCTCTACCCATGTCCCAGGGACCCACACTGGTTTCCTTTTCCCTATTCCCTCTCCTGCCACAGCTCCCTGCCATCACCAAGGGCCACCTGCCAACACCTCCTGACCCCCTCCATGGTCTCGGGTCTCCAAAACATTGCCTGTCCCTACTGTGTCCGGCCATGGTCTCACCACCCATCACACTGTGCTGTGGCCACACCCACCACTCTGCACACACTCACTGCCTGCCCTACCACTGCCTGAGGTGCCTATCCCCTTGACCAATCCAGAACATTCCCACCCCCTCTCCCTACACACCCCAGCCCACAGCCTCACCAAATCCCCATGGAGCTGGGAGCAGGGCCCAGGTGGCCTCTGAAGGCCCAGGCGGCTGTCTAGCCCCAAAGCAGGACTCCCAGGGGCAGCCTGAGCCAGTGGGCACTCCTGCCCTGACACTGGGGACACAGCCTCAGGCTGAGCGGGAGCCGGGCAAGGACGTGGCTACAGGAGGAGCAGGCTCTGCCATCTGCAGTTCCCACCGCCCCTGCTGCTGGCCCAGCCCAGGGGCCATGAGCTGCCCGTCCCATCTGTCCAAACAGTCTCCCGGCCTCAGCACAGGGTGCCCAGATACGGTACATCCCTCAGACCCAGGCTTCCACATCCTCAGCGCCTCCTCACTCCTCCCTGCCCTCAAGGGATTCCCTCACCGTCCCCCACAGCCCTGCCATGCTCTTCCCACCTAGCGCTGCCTCCATACACAACTCCTGCGTCCCCTGGCCTCAAACCCCAGAGCTCCGACCTCCACAGCCTCAGACACCAGAAGCAGCAGGAGCCATGTGGCTGAGCCCAACCCTCCTGCCTCGGGAGCCCACGCCCTCCACCTGTGCCCTGCCCCCTGCTTCATCCCTTGCATCTTCCCAACGGCGCCTCTGCAGTCTGAGCTGGGCTCACCGGGGACCCCCATCTGGAACAGCCAACCCACAACCCACAGGACACAGCCACTGCCTTGCAGAGACATGGTTTCACGGACCCTCCTCCTGGGCCTCTGCTGGCTGGCTCCAGATCCTTGGAGTCAGCAGACAGGACGGTGACCCTACACCTTTGCTCCCCACCCCTAAGAGGCTGACCCATGGGTCATCTGTGGCCACGGGCTACTCCTGTCCACCCCTGTCATATCCCAGACATCTTCAGCTTTCCTCCGTCAAACCCCTCTGACTCAAACCCCTCTCCCACCCCAGGACAGTCCTGTGCCAGCCCCTGGAGAACTCAGCCTTCCCGTCTGTGTGCCAAGCGCTGGCTCTTCCCCTCCAGGCCTGCCCCAAGGCCACGGACCTCCAGTGTGGCAAGGAAGGTGCCACAGCCTCATCCTGTGGAGATACTCCCGCATCTGCAGTCCCCCTGCGCTCTTCCCCCCAACCCCGCCTGATACTCACCAGGGCCACCTCCACAGCGCTGGCCCCTGAGGACGCCCGGTCACAGAGCAGCACCAGCAAGCGGTCCTGTGCCATGGCCCTGGTGGCTGGCAGCGAGCGGATCCCCGAGCAGATGGTGCCCACGGTGGTGCCCTGGACAGAGACGGGGCAGGTGGGCAGGGCCTGGGGCCAGGGGTCTGAGTCCATGTGGCCCTCCCTAGGCACTGTGTGCCCGTAGCAGGATCCACCTTACAGCCCACCCAGGGTGCAGAGAGGACACGGGGGCCCAACAGGAGGTAGCTTTCCAGCCAGCCCTGCCCCATCCCAGGATGCAGACCCCGACCAGAGCCAGGCTGGGTGGGGCCAGGGGTGCCAGCCCCTGCCCACCCCCTCATGGTTGGAGAGGGCATAAGAGGGAGAGTGGGCGGGTCTTTTCTAGTTCTGTGTCCCCTCCAAGGAACAGGGACACCGATGACAAGGACAGGTCTTGGCCAGCTGCAGGCTGAGACCAGTGTGAGGTAGCCCACGGCGCCACGAGTCCAGGCCCTGGGAACAGCTGGACAAAGGGAGTCCCCACCTGGGCCTGCGCTCCTCGCCTCCCAGTTCCCCCACACAGTGTACCAAGTCCAATGCCCCCTCTCATCTGACCCCTCGGGACCACCGTCCCTGACCAACGGGAAGTCTGCTTGGTCAGCCACAACCTCCCGTGGGGCTGAGTCACGCCAGAGTGGCTGCCCAAAAATGCCTCTTGGGACACTTAGGGTCACCAGGGCCTCACCTGTGGCACTTGGTCTCGGTCGAAGCGCAGGGTGAGGCGTGCACAGTTGTTGTCCAGGTGGCTGGAGCGTGGCAGGCAGGGAGTGCTGAGCAGTGGGGGCCCCTCGGGGCCGCACTCCCCCCAGGCCTTACAGGGTGGCTGTAGGCATTGGCCTGGGGCCTTCTCCCGGCACCTCTGCCCTGGCGGGCACTGGGCACTCAAAGCATCAGACTGGCTGGTCAACAGGCACGGCTTCCCCCCACACCATACCTGGGCAGGGGCAAGGGAGGGACAGATGTGGCACAGGAGATGAGGACTCACAGACATGCAAGCTCCACTGCTGGGTCTGTCTCCCAACTCCCCAAGGCTCCCAGGGAAGTAGGCTGGGATCAATATCAGATGAAGCAAACCCAGCCAAGCCTTTTTCCCAACTGCCCAATGAGGGTGAAACCTGGCTGTGCCTTTCTCCTCCCAGGACGTCACTCAGAGGTAGGCAGACCTCTGGGGTCTCCTAGTCTCATGTAGGTATCAGGGTCAGTGTGACACCAGACTCGCAGAGGCAGGGCATGGCGGAGAGGAGAAGATTAGGGCCAGCAAGTACCTTGCTACAGTCCCGGCGGCCATCCAGGCAGCGGCAGCTGTTGCAGTCTTCCACCCAGGAGCTCCCATGTGGGAATGGAGCGCCCCGGGACCAGCATGACCTCCCAAACCCGATCACTGTTTGGGGAAGAGGCTCAAGGGTCGGGGTCAAGTCTCAGAAAGCCCCCAGTACAGCACCCACCCCCAGCACACCTGGCCTACCTTCCTGGCACCGTGGACCGGCTCGGCCTGGCGGGCAACTGCAGCGGTATCCATTAATCTCATCCACACATGTGGCCCCATAGGCACAGGGTGAGGACTGGCACTCATCGATGTCTGTGAGAACAGCAGTTAGGGCTCGGTGGCAGGGAGAGGCCGACCCCTCCACAGGAGGGGCATGGGCTCACGGAGCTCGCTCCTGAGGAGCTGCCACTGGCCTGGGCCTTCCTGCCCCGGCTGCCCCAGCCTGGCCCCGCCCCTCCAGCCGCCTCTGAGGTGGGTCTGTTTCTTCCTGGTGTGGTCCTAGCTGCTGGGCTCAGGTAAGCCAAGGGTCCCGATAGACACCTGGGCTGATACCCCCAACAACAGCCCTTCTGCTGTCCCATGGCAGGCCACATGCTCTGGCCCCAGTGACCCCCATCCTCCTCCTCCCTTGACCTCAGACTGGCCCCCTAGCGGGAACCCCACTGCATCACCCAGCAGGGTATGTCCCAGGAACCTGACAGGGCACAGACTGGTGGGGAAATTAAGGCTCAAAGAGCAACAGGAAGGGGTTGGGGCCACACCGCCTTTCGAGGGAGGTGGAAGTTGATGTCCCAGACTCCTGACACCCAGGCTGGGCTAGAGGGTGCCCAGTGCTGAGACTCACAGCCCCCCACCTCCGCACACCTGCCCCCCCAGCCAGGCCCACTCACTGATGCGGCAGTCAGGACCCGCGAAGCCGGGTGCACACTCACAGCGGAACCAGTTGACGCCATCCACACAAATGCCACCATTGTAGCTGCCGGGGAGATGGTGGGCATCAGGGAGCACCCATGGCAGGTGGCCCCGCCCTTGCCCCCGGCCCCCAGGGCGCCACTCACCAAGGGAGAGGGTTGCAGTCATTGGTGTCTGGATTTGAGAGAAGAGGGAGAGGGTGGAGGGTCAATATCCACCCAACACCCCTCCAGGCAGGCCCAGTCCCAGCCAGCCTGGCACAATACACCGTGGGGCTGGGAGCTAGGGGAGGGAGGGAGCGGGACGCCTCTTGCGGAGGGTGGACGGGGATGCAGGGTAAGTAGGTGGTGGGAGGTTGATGAAAGCCAGGGGATGTGGAGGGGGGACAGTCAGGAAGGGGCACAGCAGGTCTTGGGTAGACGGGGAGGGGCAGGTCCTCAGGGTAGGGCCAAGGAGCACGGCCGGGTAGAGGGAAGTGGACCCTCAGCTCACTGTGTGTGCAGGTGCGGCCCTCCCAGCCGTCCCGGCAGATGCAGGAGAAAGAGTCCCCACTGCCCACGCAGGTGCCCCCGTTCACACAGGGGTTGGGCAGGCAGCTGCTGTTCTTGGCTGCAAGGGGGGGCCCAAGGTAGACATGGGCAGCAGGGTCAGAGGGCAGCGGGGTCATCAGCCCCAGGGCACACACCCTTCATCCCAGGACCCGCCACAACAGGTGGGGGATCCTCACACAGCCAGGCACCCACCCCGGGCTGCAAGGGTGCCTGCTCTAACTGGCTGGGCAGCTGGGGTTTCCACACCTCACCCTGACCTAGACATGGTAGACAGACCCAGGGGCAGGGGCGGGCATGGTGCTCGGGAGACCCCCAAGGCCCAGCGCCCCAATTAGCCGATCCCAGTGGGATAGGGTCGGGCTCCTCACCCACGGTGCAGGTGCTGCCCTTCCAGCCAGGTGGGCAGGCACAGCGGAAGGTGTCCCCGCTGTCATAGCACGTGCCGCCATTGCTGCAGGTGTAGGCGTCGCACTGGAACTCACCTGCGGGCACACAGGTCGCTCAGCATAGGCCCTGGGCTGGCGGGGGTCCCGGGGACAGCCCCTGGCAGGCGGCAGGGACCCGCGGGCACTCACGTGAGTGGCAGGTCTTGCCCTTCCAGCCATCATCGCACGCACAATAGAAGTCGTTGACCAGGTCGTAGCAGCGGCCGCGGCTGTGGCAGGGATCAGGAAGGCAGTCGTTGGGATCTGGGGGTGAGGACGCCGGTCAGCGGGGGTCACCGGCACTCAGGGAGGGCTTCCAGGGGAGGAGACGCCACAGTTGGGCCAAGGAGAGACCAAGGGGCGGGAAGGAGGGTGGGATCCACCTGCGGCAGCAGTGCCATCCGGCCAGACACTCCCGGGCACCCCACCTAGCCAGTGGCTCTGTGTAGGACTGGGGCCCACAGGGTAGAGGCACAGGCACACGGGCTGGGGGCACTGTCACTTACTGGTGTCACAGAGCTCGCCCTCCCAGCCGCTAGGACAGAAGCAGCGGAAGGCATCCACCTCGTCGATGCACGTGCCTCCGTTGCGGCAGGGCTGGCCCAGGCAGTCGTCGATGTCTGTGGAGAGAGTGCCTGTGAGCCTGCACACCCACAGCAGCTGGGCCCCCATCTGCCCCGCTGCTGGCCTCAGCCACTCACTCTCGTGGCAGTAGGCACCAGTGAAGCCACTGTCGCAGATGCAGGAGAAGTTGCCCTCAGGCTGGCTGACACAGTGCCCATGGGGGCCGCACACGCTGGAGGGTGCCGCACCTGGCAACCTGGGCCCCACCTCCAAGCCGCAGCCATCGACCACTGTAGTAGGTGGTAGACAGGAGTGAGGCCTGCCCTCCCAGGCCCCTCCCGGCCCCCTGCCGCTACACCTCACACCTCTGCAGGCCCCGCCAGGGCACGGCTCCCTAGGCATGGAACAGTTCTTGCCACCAAAGTCCTCCGGGCAGGCGCAATAGTAGTCACTCTCCAGGCTGTAGCAGCGCGCCCCGTTCCAGCAAGGGCTGGGATCACAGAAGTCCACGTGCACCTGCAGCATGGAGGGCATCTGTGAGGGCCCAGGCCGGGGACACAGGCTGGGGTTGGTGTCCACGCAAACACAAGTCCCTGGGAAGTGCCAAGGCCAGGTTCCTGCTCAGCCTGGACATGCAGGCCCTGAGGCCCCAGGCAGGGCAGTGCCAGCCAAAGCCTGAGCCCCCGCCCACCGAGACTGCCCAGACTCCGCCAGCTGGACGGAAACACCTGTGGCCACCAGCCCCCACCCTTGCTCGATAGCAGCCAAGCTTCCTCTGCCTCCCTGGGCGGCATCCGGCCTTGGTCCACCCCCCTGCTGGCAGGAAGGCCAGCTCCTGACCCCTCCATACTGCCAGGCCATCCTCAGAGCCCAGACTGCAGGTTCCTCCCAGAGCCAACCACTGCTACAGTCCCTGGACCCAAGGCTGGATCCCTGCCATGGGCCCCCAAGAAGCCTGCTGGGTAGGAGACCCATCCTCTGAACAAAGCAGGTTAGAATCATAACCCAGGGAGGCAGAGAGGGGGTGGGGGGGCAGGTGGAAGTGAGGATACCAGCCCAGAGAGATACCCTCTGACCCAGGGCCCACCACAGCAGGTGTGGGCCCTTGCACCACTAGGACCTCACCCAGGGCCCTCGTCCAGGTGTCCCAGGCTCCCCCCATCAAAGCCGCCTGCTCTCCAGTCCCTGAGAGCAGAGGGGACCTGCAAGGCTCAGGCCCAGCCTTTGAGGCCTCATAGCACCAAGCAAGGGCAGAAGGAACCTGACCCCCTGACCCTGTGACCCCATGATTCCCACGCTGCACAGTTGGGCACCCACTGGGGCCTGGGTCTCCCTCGGTAGAGGACTGGGCTGGAACACTGTGGGGACAGCTCCCTGCAGCGCCTCCCAATCACTCAAGCCCCGTGGCCAGTGGCCGGGGTATGACTGCCTACACCACAACTTCCCAGCAGCAAGCAGACAGGGTGGCCAAGTGCAGGCCTCACCTCACAGAGTAGCCCAGAGAAGCCCAGGGGGCAGTGACAGCGGAAGCCATCGGGCAGGTCCTCACAGCGGCCACCCCCACGGCAGGGGCTGCTGGCACACTCGTCCCACTCCAGCTCACAGTGCCGTCCTCCGAAGCCCCGTGGACACACACACTGGTACCCGTTCACCAGGTCCTGGGCGGGCAGGTGTGGTGAGCCTGTGCTGCCGCCCTGGCCCCCCCGCCCCACAAGCCCGTCCCTGCCGCTCCACCCCACTCGCCGCCCCCGCCTCATTCCACTGCCACCTCGCCCCATGCCTCACCTTGCAGGTACCCCCATGCTGACACTGCCCGCGACAGTCGTTGACATCTGGGGGCAGAGGAGTAGGGTCAAGGGCACGGTCCTGTGCCCGCCTCCAGCAGCCCTCCCCGGGAGGCCCGCCCCCTCTGTACTGACTGATGTGGCAGTTTCTGCCCTTCCAGCCCGGGATGCAATCACAGTAATAGCCGCCAATCAGGTTTTTGCAAGAAAAAGCGTTAAGGCACGGACTCCCTTCGCACTCATTGGCGTCTGTGGATGAGACGAGGGGAGCCGTGGGGCCGGGTCCCCCCGCCCGCCTGGTGCCCGCAGCCCTGCAGCCCTGCAGCCCAGCAGCACCGTGCATGCACACACACAGCCCACGCTCGCAGGGCCATACCCAGTTGGCAGGTGGTGCCCACCCATTGTTCAGGGCAGATGCACTCGAAACCATCCACCTGGTCTACACAGGTGCCGCCAGCTGCACATGGGTTCGAGGCACACTCATCAATGTCTGTGGAAGGAGAGAGATGGGGGTGCGTGATGGGCTTGGTGGGGGTGTGGTCAGCATGGGTAGGCAGGGCTGCAAGATGCCCACAGTCTCATGTGTGGATCTGACCACTCCACCCATCCCCAGTGTGTGGCTCCAACCCAGATCCCACAGGCACCAGGTGCATAGGAACTCACCGAGGGCACAGGTGGGCCCACTCCAGCCTGATGGGCAGTGGCATTCGAAGCCAGATGGCACCTCATGGCAGGAGCCCCCATTGGCACATGGGTTGGAGGCGCAGGCATGCTCAGCTGCAGGACAGAAGGAGGTGGGTGGGGCTGACCCCAGGACCCCACTCCATGAGGCTCTCCCTCAACCCACAAGGCCCCAGCTGGGGGCTCAGGCGTGCCCAGGACACACGGAGTCCAGAGAGAGGGCCCATCTGGCTTACCAGGGAATTCAGTCCATGCTGCCCCCCCGCCCTCGTACCCCTCTCGCAGTTCTTGCCGGAGTAGCCATCAGGGCAGGCGCAGTGGTATTGGTCGGGCTCTGCATTGGTACACGTGCCCCCGTTGACGCAGGGGTGGTGGCTGCCACAGTAGTTCAGGTCTAGGGACAGGTGGGATGCTCAGAGGACAGCCAGGCCCCGCTCCCCACCTCCCTTGGGCGGTCAGCATCAGGCCCACCTGCCCGCTGCCCATCTCCCTGCCTTTCCTGCCCACCACCCATCCCCATCACCCATCCCTACCTTTGTCACAGAGCAGGCCACCCCAGTTGACCTCGCAGTTGCACTGCCAGGGCTCCACACAGCTGCCATGCACACAGCCGGGGTACGGAACACACTCATCACAGAACCGCCCTTGCCAGCCATAGCTGCACCTGGGAAGGCCGCAGGGCATGAGACCCAGTGAGCTGCAGCAGCTGGGAAGAGGGCTGGGGCCAGAGTCCCTCAGGCAGTTCAGAACTGGCGGCCTCGGGTCTTTGAGCCGCAGCCACCCCAAGCCAGGGGTGACGGCCTGACGGCCGGCAGCGGGTCACGGGCGTTCCCGGCTTCTGGCCATGGACGGGTGGCCCCAGCTGTCCCGTCAGTCCTCCCTGAGCTATTTTGGGACTCACCCCTGAGCAGGGCCCCGTGAACAGGCGCCGGCAAAGGAAGGCCCTACTGGGACTCCAGAGCTGAGATGCCAGCTTGGACCAGCCAGCGGCTGCCAGCGCTAGGAGGGCCCAGAGTCTGGGCAGGCCAGCGGGACATCAAGAGCACTCTGGGCCCTGCCTGGGCCCTGTGACCTTGGGCACAGCACGTGCCCTCCCCCATGCCTCAAGGGCAGTCAGCTCTCTCCCTCTCCCAGCAAGTACCCACAAAGGGGCCATCTCACAGATAGGGACACCAAGGCCCACAGGCTACCCCAAGCCAGCCCTATTCAGGGCAGCTCTTGGCCCTGGCATAGCTCAGGCTGCACCCTGGAAATGGCCTTGAGGGGCCTCTTGGTTTTGAGGCCACAACCCTGAGGCCTGACCTAGCCCCACACTGCTGGCCAGTGTTCCCTCCAGGGAGTCCTCCAGGTTACAGACAGGAGGCAGGGGCAGAGCATGGCGGATGCAAAGCATGTCCTGACCAGAGGGCACTGCTGTCAGGGGAGAGAGAGCCTGGTGTCCTACAGCGGACACCCCGCACCCAATGGGCAAACCTCCAGGCCCCAAGGGACTCCCAGGGGCCCCTTCCTAGAACCCTCAAGTCCTGCAGGGCAGGAATGACGTCCAGGCCATGTCACTTCCACACCGGCACCCGCCACAGATTTATTTTTGTAAAAGGAAAGAGCCACGGCCCTTCCTGAGCCGCCCTCAAGCCACGCAGTCAGGGCCGAAGGGTGATCGACCCAGCTCAGCAGTGCAGGGATGGAGAAACTGAGGCTGGGGAGAAAGTGGCTGCAGGGTTGGGCCCGGGATGTGTGGGGTGGGTCCACACTGGTGTCACACATTCCTGCCTAGAACCCTTCCTCCAGGTAACACAGGGGATCGGACCCAGGGCAGGGCTGTGACGTGCCCTGGGTCCGCCGCCAGGGAGCGCCACCAGTGGGCTCAGAGCCCAGATCTGTGGGTCCCCAGGGTGGCTCTCCACCCAGGGTGGGGCAGCCCGGGCCCCCACCTCCCGCTTCCCTGCCAGCAGTTCCAGAGGCCTGGGGAGGCGGTGGCAGGAAGACACGGCCATCTCCGCAGCATCCGGTTGGGGGGGTTACCATGCTGAAACCCGAGCCCTGAGCAACAGCTGGGCCTCCCCCACGGGGCGGGGTGGGTGAGGCACACCCACCAGTCAGGCCTGGGCCCAGCACTCCTGTACAGCCCACAGGGAGAGGATGCAGATGGGGCTGCCAGCCCTGCCACCTTCCTGCAGCCTCCACAGGACACCCGAGCCACCCAGGGGTGCCACTACAGCCACCAAGGCCATTCGGGGCCTCGGGGCTGCAGGGCTGGGCGGGACATGGGGGCAGAACCCAGCCCCCATGCACTCAATACCTAGCCTGTGGTCTACCCAGAAGCCCCACCTGATACCCATCATCCAGGTGGGGGGGACTTCAGGGGAATGCCAACCCCAAAGGACCCAGGCCCTGCCCTGCCCTGCCTGACACATGCTGCTCCCAGCCAGGACATGGCTCCTAGGTGCCCCTTGCAGGACACCAAGCATCCGGACCACACCCACCCTGCTGTGCTCCCGGAACTGACTTGCAGCCAGCGCCACGTGCCTGGAGTCCCTGACTGACTGGCATACACTGACTGGCGGGTGAATCCCAGCCCTGCCCCCTCCCAGCCCTGGGACTGGCCAGGGCTGGTTCTCACACTGATGTCAATCCAGGCAGCTCAACCATGGGGTCTGTGGAAGGGTAACTCCCACCCCTCACCTGGATTCCCAGGTTGGCAGCTCCCAAATCCTGCTCCTCCTCTTCAAAACTCAATGCTATGCGGACTCAGGGAAGTTATTTAACTCTCGGTGCCCAGTGTTCTGGTCTTAAAGGTGCATACAAAGGTAAACCCGCTCCTCAGAGGGAGGTCCTGGGATGCGTGTGCCCACGGTGGGTGTGGAGGACTTCACGCCCCCACCCGCTGTCCCCTCCACCAACTTGCAGCTCCTTCTCTCAGAGTCTCCTGGGGTGCCTGTCACATTCGGAAGGCACCGCCCAATTCAAAGCCCCCAGCTGTTCCACACACTGGGCCCAGCCTCTCCACCAGCCCCTCCGCTCCTCTCTGCGGCAGAGCTGCCCATCCTCCCGGCCTGAGCCCACCACCCCCAATGCCCGTCACACCCAGCAGCCCCCCCTGCCTGCCTGTGAGTGCCAGGACCTTGTGCTGGCCCTGACACCTGGGCAGCAGAGACACACCCCTCAGCCTCCTGCCCATCTTCCCCAGCCCCAGCCTCAAACACCACCAGATGCCGCGAGTGCCCCCATGAGCTCCTCCCTCTGCTTTCTCAGCATCTTGGGGGCAGGGCAGACATCACCCTCCATGTGGCCTGCCTTCCCTCTGCCCTGCTGGCTCCTCCCATGGCATCTCTACCTCAGTCACAGCGGCTCCACTGCCCAGTGGCTTGGAGGCCTTCCTGACTCCACACTCTTCCTCTTACCCCTTATCAAATCCATCCATGAGTCCCTGGGCTCCACCTCAGCATGTGTGCAGGACCTACCTTCCTCCACCTCACGCTGGCTCATTGCTCACCAACAGACTCCCAGATCAGCCTGCTCTCCCTGCACTCCAGCACCCTCTTCACAGCCACCCAACCTGGCTCTTCCCCACCTAGTGCCCACCTCAGCAGCTACAAACCTGCACCCCCTTTTCTCTCCTCAGTCCCGCATGCTGCCGCTCCGCCACCCATCTGTTCTGCCCCTCACTCAGTAGCCTCTCTGGTGGCCTCACTGCCTCCCCATGGGCAGTGCCACTGTATTCCCTACATAGACCCCACTCTCAAGTGGCTCTCAGGCTCCAGGCCTCTGCCCCTCAGTGGTGTGACCATGCAGCCACCCTTCTCATCCCCTCCTTGCCATCCCCGTGGGGCTTCTGCCATCAGACATGCCCCACACGCAGGACTCAGACCCTAGGCCCCCCCAAGCTCTAGGAGCAGTGAATTGGAGGCAAGGGCAGGGCCAGGCAGGCATGCACTCACCTGCACTCCCCAGGTACAGTACAGCCCCCGTGGAGCAGGTTACACCCCTGTTTGCACACAGCTGGAACAGAGAAGACAGGCTCAACCGAGGCTCAGCCCCACCCCCATCCCTCAACCCTGTACCCGTGTCTGCATCCGCCCACCTTCCTTGCACTCCTTGCCCATCCAGCCATCCATGCAGGCCTTGTTGCCATACTGGTCGCAGGTGTAGTGGCCAAAGAAGTCATTGCGTGGCCGGCAGAACTTGTTGCAGGTAGCGCTGTAGTAGTTCTCATCACAGCGCACGCGAATCTGCAGCTCCAGGTGTGCCACGTGGCCACTGAAATACAGGCTCTTCCAGCGATCCTCGGGGTTGATCATGCCAGCGTGTGACACCCGCTCAATCAGCAGCTCCTCTGGGGGGGAGGGGCAGCAGGGTCAGCACAGCCCGAGATGCTCTCTGGCTGCACAGCCTTGGGGGTGACAGGGACACAGGTAGCAGAACGGGGACACCGGCCAGGGGACACCTGTCCCTCCGGCCAGGCCACAGCAGGAAGCTCAGGCCCACCCAACACCAGGCCACAGTGCCTGCTCCCATCCTGGCGCAGAGGCAGTGAGGGTCTGGCTGGGCACCACAGGCTCTGCAGAGAAGATGTGGCTACTGTCAGGGCACAGATCCCAACCCTAGCACAGCCCTGCTCTAACAACTGAGCCCCCATTGGGGCACCATGTCCAGCCCTCAACAGCTGTGTCCCTCAACCTGTACCACGAATTGTCCCCAGAAGCACCAAGCACACTGCTGCCATTCCCCTCCTAAAAGCAAGCCTTCTTTGCCAGGCACAGTGGCTCACGCCTGTAATCCCAGTACTTTGGGAGGCAGAGGTGGGAGGATTGCTTGAGCCCAGAAGTTCCAGACCAGACTTCGACTCAAAAACAAAAACAGAAACAAGACTCCTCTCAGATCCCTGAAACAGGAATGGATTCAGGGAGGAACAGTTGGGTCTCACTTTATTTTTATTTATTTATTTGATTTTTTGAGTGGGAGTCTCACTCTGTCCACCAGGCTGGAGAGCAGGGGCACACTCACGGCCACTCCAGCATTGACCTGCTGGATTCCAGCGATCCTTCTGCCTCAGCCTTCCAAGTAGCCGGAACTACAGGTGCATGCTACCACACCCAGCTAATTTTTGATTTATTGTAGAGACGAGGTCTCGCCAATTTGCCCGGGCTGGTCTCGAACCTGCGGGCTCAGGTAATCCACTCACCTCAGCCTCCCAAAGTGCTGGGATTACAGGTTGAGCCACGGAGCCCAGCCGGGTCTCACTTTAAAGCTGCAGGGACGGGTGAGGGTGGCAGGCACACAGGGCCTGTGACCCACTGTTATGACAGGATGGAATTTTTCAAAAGGTTCATGAATTCTCCAGACCCTACCTCTCCCGCCACGCTCAGCCCCAGCCTCCCCTCTTGCTGCCACCCTATTCCCAGGTTACCCCTGCCAAGCCCAGGGTCCCCATTGCTACAGACCTCCAGGTGCCCCCATCTGTTCCGCCCTGTATATGGGCCCTCTACTCTGGGCACTGCTGACCCCCTCTCGCTGCATCTAGCCTGTCAGCTGACTCCTCACCTCCACCTTAAGAGCAGCCAGAACACTCCCACCTCCCAGGTTGTCCCCATCCAAGGTGCCCCATGCCACTGGATTCATGCAGCTCTTCCCAGGCCTCCACCCTAGCCCCCCAGTCCACCCTGCACACAGCAACCAGCTTTCTCACGATGCCCACCAGCCTCACAGCCCGACCCAGCTGAGCTGCCCTCAAGCACAGTAGGCTGGCTCCTGTCTCGGGGCCTTTGTACCCTTTACTTCCTCTGCCAAACCTTCCTGGCCTACCCCTGCCCCCCAGGGTCCCACAGATGCTGACAGGACAGTCAGCCAGCAGGCAAGCCTCAGGGAGAAGCCACCAGGCCCCACTTTCCAGGACAGTCAGGCAGAGAGGAGCTATGAAGTCAGAAAAGGTGCCCCTCTCCTCTGCCACTGAGGTAGACCCCAGAAGAACACAACCAAAGGCTGGGTGCAGTGGCTCATGCCTGTCATTCCAACAATTTGGGAGGCCGAGGCAAGTGAACTGCCCAAGCCCAGAGGCTCGAGATCAGTCTGGGCGACTTGGTGAGACCTTGTCTCTACAATAGACTGCAAGTAGCTTCGGCTACTTTGAAGGCTGAGACAGAAGGATTGCCTGAGCCCAGCAAGTTGAGGCTGGGGTGACTGTGATTGTGCACTGCACTTCAGCCTAGGTGACACAGTGAGACCCAAAAATAAAAAAAGCAAAACAAAAATCACGACATGACCAACGGAACAAAGTGGATAAAGCCGGGACTGGGAAGACAGCCGCGCACAGCTCTGAAAATCACAAGCGAGGCAGAGCTTCCTGGCAGTCAGAAAGGGGAAACAGCACACAAGATCCTTGGGGTAAGAAAGGCCTTGTCCCAAGCAGCCAGGGGACCAGGACCCTGGCCATAGGCAACTTGTGGTAGGAGACCCAGCCTCCCAGTGCCCTGAGGGAGACCCTGTAGGAGGCAGCCCTCCTGGCTGGGGTATACTCACCATTTGGGGTGGTGTCATTGTCCCAATCCCAGGCCTCCACGACGAGGGTGAAGGAGCGCTACAGACATGGGAGGGGACAGTCAGGCACACGAAGCCCCACCTCCCTGCCCTGTCCAGGGTTGGGGGACCTGGGACTCCAACTCTGCCCCCAGGTCTGCGGGGCTCCAGTCCCTCCTCCCCAGGTTCCCTTCCTGTGCCCCGTGGCACCTCCCCCCACCCCTTCCCTGACCCTCAGGTCGCATTTCCTCAGGAGACCCCATGGTGACCCCACGATGGCCTAACTCGAGGAGTAAGACTGTCCCTCCGGCCTCGCGGTCTCAGGGCTTGGGGTCCACCCTCTCAGGGTCCTAAAGGCCCAGCCCACCCTAAGCCAATTCATGTCAGTGTCCAGTGAAGGTACAGCAACCCGGCAGAGAGGTGGGCAGAGGGTGGTGCCGCTGGAGTGGCCACAGACAGGGTCCAATAGGCAGTCCAGGGTCAGAGTCTGGAGAGGGAGCCCTCAGCACTCACTGGGGACAAACAAGTCAGGGGACAGGAGTCCCTGCTATAAGTCCGCCCAAGAGGGACACAGCCCCATCATCATGCTGCCAGCCCCTCCACCAGGTGCACAGGGCAGCAAGGCAGAGTGCACCAAGAGGTGCTGCCTCCGACCCTAGCAGAGACTGTACCCAGACCCCATCAGGTGCACCACCAACAGGGAAAACCCACACCCACCTCTACCTCAGAACAGGAAAGGGGCAGGAGGGGCCCAAGAGGCCTTGGGACTGCCTGGCACAGACTCCGCCCACAGTGGCCGCTCCCCAGGTCCTTGTGCCCAAAAACCACAGGGCCAGGCTCTGCAGAGGTCAGCCCGAGCCCACCTGCAGCAGCCCCTAGGCCCTGTCCCTCAGGCACACGCTCGGATGGGAGGGTCCAGTCTCTCAGCACTCACTGCCCAGAAACCAGGACAGGGCTGGGTCTGAGCTGCCCCCAGGTCTGCCCCCCGCCTGCCCCGGGGGACAGTGCCCTGGAAGTTCTGCAGGTCAGACTCACTCATCTATCCAGCCCCAAGGCCTGGCTGTGCTGCGATGCCCACTTCCCCTGGAGGCCTGCGGCCCTGGCCTCGCCCACAACCTGCACCTCCGCTAAGCCTAATCCTATGCCTGCCAGTCCTTCCCGTCACTCCCTTGTGACCCAGCCCCATTCTGCCCACCCAGCCCAGAATAGGCCTGGCCTCCCCAGAAGGCTTCGCTCCCACATCCTAGCCATGTCCCTAACATGCTGCCAACCACACCCAGCCGAGCCTCAAGAACCCTCTCCGGGTCCCCCACCCCCATGCCTTGACAAGCCCTCAAATGTGAACACCTCAGGCCAGCCTTAATCCCACTCACAGCCATGCCCCCCAGCAACCCCTCTTCTACACCTGCCTTCTGGACACCTGGGGATATCCAGGGATGACCCACAGCCCACCCAGGAGGCTGGAAGTGGGGAGCCATCCTCATCCCCCTTCTAGAACCTTCCCTGGCCATTTGGGGCTATCACCAGGACTTTAATCCCACCTTCCCACTTGTGCCTTGGCCTTTGCTAGGTCACCAGGCCCAGTGCCCGGGGAGTGCCCATCTCCTCCAAGGGCTCCCTGAGACCATGAGGGTTTCCAAACATCTGCCTATAGGAGTCCTCACAACTGGAGCCCTGTCCAAACCACCCCAGCACCCAGAGCCCTCCCAGGGATCACAGCCCTGCCCCGCCCGGGATGCCCAGCCTGTCTCCTGAATGTTGCACTTGGGACAATCACCCGGCTGGGTCCTCTCCCACCTCCTGGTGGCAGCTAGGGCGCCCATCCTTCCCAGGCACCATATGCTTGGCTCCATGTTCCTTCATTCGTTCATTCACAAATCAAGCATGCAGCAAGCGCTGCTTGCCATGGGGATATCAGACTGTGTCCTGGCAGGACTCAGGATGCAGTGGGGCAGAGGTGCTGTTCTAACAGGGTCAGGGCAAGCCTTGGAGAGGGCGAAGCCGGGAGTGAAGCAGGAGGGCATGAGGAGGAGAACAGGCAGGGTCAGCAGGGAGGTCCTGGGGCTGGGAGAGCTTGGCAGGTGGGGCCACAGGTCATGCCATTGGGTGATGTAAGCAAAGCAGGAGGCTGCTGGGGTTAGGGTAAGGCCTGAGCCAGAGGGACTTCCACAATCCCTCTCGGAGCCAGCACAGGGTCGAGGGTGAGGACGACTTGCATGGGCCTAAGACCCCCAAGCTGGTCAAGCCCACTGGCCACCGGGTAGGCAGAGTCAAGACCAGGCCTAGCCACACCTGGGCTTCGGGGCCAGCAGAGAGCTCCTCCTGGCTCCCAGGAAACCCCACGCCAGCTGCTCAGGTAGGATTACTGCCACCTTCGCCTGTACCCGGGGCTCCGGTTACCTGTTCCCGCAGGGACGTGCGCCTGCCCGCCTGCCCATGGGGGGCCCCCCGCCGCCCGCCAGCTGGGGTCCTTACACCTGGACGGCAGGAAGTCATCCAGGGAGAACCTGAGATGGCTGGCGGGCAGCACCTGCGTGCCTCACCCCACCTGCTGGCCACAGCCCCTTCTTTCCCCCAGGGCTGTCCTCCAGGACTCAGTTCCCCCTCCTCAAACAGCAGTCTCTCATCCCTGTTCTGCCAGCCTTTTGGGCTACAGTCTGGGAAAGGATCTTGTCAACTGTAGACCCCTAGAGAACAGGGAAACAAGGTCTGGGCTGGAGAAGCGTTGCGCCATTCTAGGGATGGGCTGGGGTCTGGGGAAACTTGGGGCCTGGGGGACAGGTCAGAGGCCACCATCCCAGCAAGCAGGGAGAGCCTGGTCCCTTCTCCCAGGCCAGCCCAGCCAGGCCATCTGCCCGCTCAGCCTCTGGAGGCCCATGGGGGGGGTGGCCTCCATCCTCTGAGACCCAGCTACATCTGACCCACCCCCACCGCATAAGTAGACCCCAGTTCAACTCCATCGCCTCACTGTGAAGCCACCTCTTCCCAACCCCAGATCCCGAAAGCTAAGTCCTAACCCTTCCTTTAGCCCCCAGACAGGGGAATCAGGGCAGCTGCCCAAAGACGGGGAACAGGCAGACCGGGAGCAAATGCACCACACTATGTGGCCCAGGGTGTCCCGGACATGGCCCAGCCCATGCAATTTCCCGGGCGGCTACCCTAGAGCCAAGGCTCCAACCCGCATTCTCCTCTCAGCATCCTGCATCAGACGCCGAACCCCCCCACCACACACACAAAGCACAGTGCTAGATACGGGCGCCAGGAGCTCTAAGCACAGATACATTTCCTGAAACCTGATCTCAGCAGAGGCCAGGCCCAGGCCTCTGCTACCATTGTCACCCAAGGGAGAGGGGGAGGAAGGGAGCAAACACCCCCCCCATCCCTTGTGCTCTAGGCCCCAGGGCCCCAGCAGGAGACCGCAGCCTACCCCACAACAGGAACCCAGTTTGAGTCTGGGGTATGGGGTGTAGGACCCCACTCAGGCCTGGAGTCTGGATACAGGGATCCCCCCATTCAGGCCTGGGAACTGAGGATAAGGACCACACTCAGGGCTGAGGGCTGGATATAGGAGCCCCAGTTCCTAGGCCTGGGGGCTGAGGATAGGAACCCCACTTGGGCCTGGGCATAGGGACCCCACTCAGGCCTGGGGTCTGGGGATAGGGACCCTACTTGGGCCTGGAGATTGGGGCCCCACTAGGGCCTGGGGGTAGGGACCCTGTTCAAGGTTGGGCTCCGGGGGTAGAGATTCCACTCCAGCCTGGGGCTGAGGATAGGAACCTCACTCAGGGCCAGGGTCAGGGTCTGAGGACCCAGCTCAGACCCGATGCTTGATGATATGCACCCCAGCTTTTCTGGGATCTGGGAACCCTGGCTGGGTCCTGGGATCAGAGACCTTGTCTCTCTCTGGCTGTTCAGGCTCCACCCTGGCCCCCAAACACCCCTTCATGGCCCAGCCTGCCCCAACTAGGGCACCCTGCAGCAGCCTGAGAGGGTCCCGAGAGACACATCCTTCTCACCCAGTCCCTGCTGCAGACTCCTAGCAAGCCCTTCCCCTCAGGGCCCAGTGCCAGACTGCCAGTCACCCTCCACTGGCCAAGGCAGACCCCTGCCTCCTGGACACTGACAACCCTGCCCCGCCCTACACGAAGGCCTCGAACAAGACCCTTGATGTATGAGGCCAAGGCTGGCGACCAGACACAGAGCAAAGCAAGGCCTGACCTGAGCCCACCCAAATGGGCCTCCTGGTCCCTAGGGGAGTAACGTAGGACCCAGTGTGCAAACAGGAGGCCCTGGACATGGGGTGGGAGACCAGAGCCCACCAGCCTCCAGCCTCAAACTCAGGAGGGAAAGGAGCAGAGGGGGGCTGGCACCCCACACCTGGTAAGGTCAGCTTAGGTACCTCTCTGGCACAGTCCCAGCTGGCCCCCCGTTGGGTGGGGACTCATGTGGCTAAGCCTCCATGGCAGTTAGATGCAATGGGGCTGGGCTCTGTGTCCACACTCTGCCAGACACCCCCACAGGCACTCCAGCCTCCCTTCCTCCCATCCCTTGGCCTTCTGCTGGACAGCCAGTGAGGCAGGGAAGGGACTGGCAGGCTTGGGAGCTAGGCTGAGGGCTTCAGCAGAGCCTGAGCTCGGTGCCCTAACAGGCTTCGAGGGGACCTCAGTGAGAAGGCACCACTGCGCCCATTTCATAGGTGAGGAAACTTCTGATGGCCCAGGACCTCAGGTCTCCTGAGCTGACAGACACAGGGTCAGTCCTGGCCCACTGTCTACATATGCTTTCCCCACAAGCCCCCATCTGCCAGGGAGACCATGATCCACCTGCACCACCCCCCTGGAGCCTAGCATGCACATACCAGGAAACAGGTCAGAAGACAGGCCCTTGCCTGTGGGCTCCTGGCGGTGGGCAACCGGGCAAGCGCAGTCCCCAGCTGGGCCCTCTGAGGGGAAAACTAGCTGCTCCGGTCACAGCCAACTGCTAACGCCCTGCTCCCCCCTAAGCCTGCAGGTACCCCTAAGCCCACCACCACTAGCCTCCAAAAGAAAGCTCCCTTCTTCCCTATCCATGGCCCCCACCCATCTCTAAACCCTCCATCACCATCTGCCACACCCACAGAGCACTTGTGCCCAATGTAAGCATGTGTGGCCTCCACCCTACCAGCTACAGGCCAGACGCCAGGCCCAACCCAGGGTGACACTGGCTTCCTGGGGGCAGCCATGGGGCGTGGGGAGGAGGAGAGGAGGGGGAGCCTGCTGGCAGGTCACCCACCACCTCTGCACATCCAAGACCTTGGGCCCGCCCACCAGGGGAGCCACGCCTGAAACCAATATGGACCATGGTGGTGGACAGCACACAGGTTCTGGAAGCAAGAAGCCAGGTCAGGCCTGATTTGTCCAGTAGAAACCATGGAGTGCCAGGGGCATGTGCAGAGCCCAGAACCCTCAGTCCTCCTTCCACACGGCCCTGTCCCTCCACAAGACCCTCTCCCACGGAGTTCAAGAGTCTTGCTGGTCCTGAGCAGAACATCCTGGCTGATACCGCCTCCTCAGTCACCAGGGGACTTAGAAACAGTCCTTGCTTTCCCCAGTCGGAGCTGGCTCCCAGACGGAGCTGGACTTGCAGCAAGACAGGGCAGCACATGCTGGGTCACTGCGCCCAAGCGGAAATACCAGGGTACTGGCATCACCACGCAGCCCCCACCTGGCAGCTGAGCCACATGGCAGAAGACGGGAGGAAGTGCCCCGAACACACTGCCACCCTGCGACCCCCCACCCAGGGGCAGGCCGTTGGCCCCCTCCCGGAACACTGACGAAACTGCTGGGAGCCAGAGGATGGGAGGAAAGTTAGCCCCGAGACCCGTTGCCCGGACTCCACGGAAAGTGAGGGCCTGCCCTGTCCCATCCCACACCTGACTGGCCGGCTGGCAGGGCAAAGAGCCATAAGGGACACGCGTTGGCCCGCCACATTCCTACAAGGCCTCCCTGCCCCCACACCCTCCACTGCCAACTCGAGCAGAAAACACATCCTCAGGTAGCGATTTGGAGCCACACTGGCCCAGGCCCAAGTGCAGATGACAGGCTGCGGGCCCTGCTCAGACCTGCCTGCCGCGCCGCTGTGGGGGCGAGGGGGCCGGGCTTATCATAACTGCCTGGGGCCCCTCCCATGCCTGCCCCTGCCTCTTCCATCTTGGGGACATGATCCTCGCCCTGAAGCCCCAGGGTCAAGGGATAACCTGCCGGGTGCTCCTAGGTGGGGGCATGGCCAGAGGGGCCATGGGCAGCTTCTAGGAAGGGGTGTGGATGGGGCAATGAGCACAGCCACTCAGGCTCAAGAGAAGGGGCAACCCAGGGCTTGGAGCCAGGGCAGGGCAGGAGCCAGGCCCTCACAGGGCAAGTTCTACTAGCCTAACCTTGGTGGGGTCTGGCCCCAAACCCAGACTCTTCCAGGCCCAGGGCACCAGGTGAACACACTCGTGGGCCTCCTGCTGGCTGGGTTGGTCAGAAGGGTTCATCAGAATGCACCCCAGGTCACTGCCTGGCACCCTATTCCATCAGCTCCCTGACCACTGGCCTGTGTGGCTGATCCCCATCCTCTCAGCGTCTTCCAGCCCAGCCCTGCCCAGTCACCCCTAACTTGTGCTTCCACGCTGGGGAACTCCTCACCAATTCCCAGGTATGCAGCACAATGACCCAGCAGACGAGGACTTCCCAGACCAGGTAAGGCCCCACTTCAGAAAACAAAGTCAGGCCCCAGAGACCCAGCCGGTCCACCTACCACTCCCTGCCTGTCCCCAGCCCTCACCCAACGCCCAGGACATCCTCAAGGGGCCTGCCTCTCACGGACGCTGGACCCCTACCGCCCCCACCTCCCAGCATGCTTCTGATTAGCCACCCCAAGGGAGACCAGAGATTCCCCTGGACTCAGCTTCTGACCCTTTAAAAAGCAGCAACCAAAGCCAAAAAGCCCACAGGCAAGAAGACCCTGCAGAGTCTCAGCACCAGACGCGCACTGTCTCTTTCCTGGGGCATCTTGGGCCAGCAGCAGGGGCTTCCACCAACACCACACACAGGCACAGGCCCCCCGGACCCAGGTCCCGCGGCGCCTGCCGTGCCCCATGGGCATCCAGG